ATTATTATTATTATTATTGGATTTTGGAATATTTGCATATACATAATGAGATAACTTGGAGATGGTACCCAAGTCTAAACATGATATACACATAGCCTGAAGGTAATTTTATTCATGATAATGTTTAAAATAATTTTGTTTGTGAAACAAAGTTTGTGTACACTGAACCATCAGAAAGTAAAGATGTCACTATCTCAGCCAACCATGAAAAAAGTTTTGGATTTTGGAGTATTACAGATTTCAGAATTCTGGATAAAGGAGACTCAACCTATACATCCTTTTATACTATACTTGATTGATAGCCGTGAATTAATAGTAACAATTGTCATCATCTTTGGCTGAAATACTATGACTAAGCATCCTACTTCCTCATTAAAGAACAAACAAATCTCAGATCTTCCTAAGAAAGTTTCCTGTATTGAATATAATAAGGAACTACTATTCATTTAAGACTTCTGGGTTCACTTCCTTGTGTCTGATGATGACCTAGAGAGAGTTGAATGGGCTTATTTCACTGGAACTGTGAAATAAACCTCACCTCGTTTTCTTAGTGACTGAAGTGCTTCATAATTTTTACTGGGTGCGGCTATCATGTAAAAATCCTCACAGCACTCAGTGACATGATGTTACCATAATATCAAAATCTGACAGCAAAGCAAATACAATACTTAAAAGTTAGCTTAAGCCTCTTCCTTAATCACTGCTGGTCCAGACTGGCCTCATATAAGGAAATATCTCTCTTTAAATTGTGAGCATATTGCCATTTCCTGATTCATCTGTGAACCATTTATTCAGGCGTTATGTGACAAACATACAGTTAGCCCTCCATATCCACTTTTTTTTAATCAACAGATTCAATTATACACAACTTGAAAACATTTTTTAATATCTCAGATCTTTTGTATGGTATGAAAGGGCCCTAGGACAGGACCAGGCTTGGGAGACATAAGTGTTTAAAGATACACACCTGTGTTGTCCATATTTTATGCATTTGCTATGCATTTCCCACATTGTCCCATGCTAATACAGTCAGCCCTCCATAGTCACGGATTCTGCATCTATGGATTCAATCAACCATACTTCAAAAATATTCAAACACACACACACACACACAGAGTCCCAAAAACAAACGTTGATTTTTGCCATTTTATATAAAGGATGCCATTTTACAATACTGTTGAATATAATGGGACTTGAGCATCCATGGATTTTGTAATCCATGGGGGGTTCTCAAACCAAGCCTTAGCAAATACCAAGGGCCCACTGTATTTTTTAGGTCTAAATACTCTAAAGGTATTAGATTCTGTCTAATCTTGGAACCTAAGCAGGGTCAGCCCTGGTTAGTACAGGCTGAATCTCCCATATCTGAAATACTTGAGTCCAGAAGTGTTTTGTATTTTTTTGGATCTTGGAATACCTGTATTTGCATATATATACATAATGAGATAGCTTGGAGATGGGACCCAAGTCTAAACACAAAATTTATTTATGTTTCATATACACCTTATACACTTAGACTGAAGGTAATTTTATACAATATTTTAAATAATGTTGTTCATGAAACAAAGTTTGTGTACACTGAACTATCAGAAAGCAAAGGCGTCTCTATCTTAGGAACCCATGAAAAATGTTTTGGTTTTCTGAATATTTCAGATTACAGAATTCCAGATAAGGGCGATTCAACTTGTACTTGTTTGGAAGACCAATGAATACCAGATGCTGTAGGCTATATTTCAGAGAAAAGAACTG